AGTCAGACAGCCGAGATTTGAACGCTGGCCCTGAACTTCTTTCCTGTGTGACTCTGACCCAGTGATGTCAGTACCTTGAACCTCATCTTCCTCACCTGTAAAATGGGCATCAGGATAGTTCTTGCCTAGAGGTACTATAGTGAGTGCCCTGAATCCGCTGTTTGAGGCAGCGTGCTGAGAGCTGGCCAGGGTTACTCGGGGCTGGTGTCACAGACACATGCAGCCGCACAGTCAGAGAGTGCTGTGCTTGGTCTGCTATCTTGCTGCTGTCACCTCAAGAGTCCGGATAATTGTTTAACAAGGCGCCCTGCGTTTTCATTTTTATTCTGGACTTTGCAAGTTCCGTTTTACAGATGATAAAACTAGCCTGAGAGAGATTTGCTCAAGATAGTCTTAGACGTGAGCTGAGGCATTCAGCCAGGCCCTTGGCTCATCTGTGGCCCACACTCTTTCCCCTGGTAACGCCACGGACTCAGCTGCCCCCTTTGCGCATGAGCAGATGAGAGCCCAGCGCCTGGCTCCTTGTGTGTGCGTCACTCGAGGACCCTTTACTGTGTCTAAGCACCCCTGGAGCTCTGACCAGCCACTGCTTCCCACAGGACAACTCCAACTTATACATGGTTATGGAGTACGTGCCCGGCGGGGAGATGTTCTCACACCTACGGCGAATCGGAAGATTCAGGTAAGCAGCCCCCAGGCTTCTCCTGGCCCTGACGCTCCAGCCTGGTGCAGGTCACAGGCACAGGCGCACAGCCAGGCCACTGCGGCTGTACAGGGGCCAGCCCAGCATGAATGTGGCCATGGCCTCTCCAGGTCCCTGTCCGTTTTCATGTCTGCATCTGCCCCATTTCAACCAACACAGAACAAAATAGGGTGAAATAGACATTACAACCTGAAGTGACCGCATAGGCATTTTCCATTCCTGGGTGTTGGGCTGATAACCAAAAGGTCAGTGGGGTTCGAACCCACCAGGTGGGGTGCCCCAGGGAAGAAAGATGTAGCCATCTGCTTTAGTAAAGATTCACAGCTCTCAAAACCCGCTGGAACAGCCTCAGTCCGACCTGTGGGGTTCGCTCTGGGTCAGAATTGACTCGGTGGCAGTGAGCTGGGCTTTGACTTGGACCGGGCATGCTTGGGTGTTGGTGCCAGCCCACCTGCTGGACGGGTGTGGTGAGCAGGTCCCGGTGGCCACGTCCACCAGCACTCACCGGCCCTTCTGCTTGTCCCACCAGTGAGCCGCACGCCCGCTTCTATGCAGCCCAGATCGTGCTGACCTTCGAGTACCTGCACTCACTTGATCTCATCTACCGGGACCTGAAGCCGGAGAACCTTCTCATTGACCAACAGGGCTACATTCAGGTGCCGCCAGGCCCAGGAGGGCAGCCTCAGGTGGCCGTGGCTTGCACCCGCCCTCCCTACCAACTGTCCCTTCTTATCCCTGCAGGTGACAGACTTTGGTTTTGCCAAGCGTGTCAAAGGCCGCACCTGGACCTTGTGTGGGACCCCTGAGTATCTGGCTCCTGAGATTATCCTAAGCAAAGTAGGTCTTTGCCCAGCACCCCACCTTCACCCCTTTCCACCCACACTCCTTCTGGCCTCCTCCCCTTAACTCTGCCACCTTTCATCCCAGGGCTACAACAAAGCTGTGGACTGGTGGGCCCTGGGGGTCCTCATCTATGAGATGGCAGCCGGTTACCCCCCTTTTTTCGCCGACCAGCCCATCCAGATCTATGAGAAAATCGTCTCTGGGAAGGTGAGGCTGAGTGTGGGCAGCCAGCCTGCATTCCTCTCCACGGAGCCCCGGCTCATTACTGGAATAGTCCAGAAGGGTTTTCAGATGGGCCAGGCAGGTCCCACGCCAGATCTCTTGCTGTGGCAACACCGACACCTGGCACAGCTTCCCTGCGTGGCCCCAGCAGTGGGACGGAATCCCACCTGAGCCCCGTGGAGCGCCTCAGTGCCTGCAGGCCCAGCCCGGCCTGTGCACTTCCTCTTTTGCCCTGTACTTATCCCCTTGGGGTGCATTTCTATGGTTCTCTCCTGCAAATACCCAAGTGCCACGCCACTCCCCATCGGCTGTGGTCTGTGGGCCAGTTCCCTTCCCAAATTCAGATTCCCTGACCCTGAGGCTCAGGTAAGTGCAGGTGGAACTGTAAGGGCTTGCATTTTGGGACAGCATTAAATGGCACCACAGGAACCCCTTCAGTCTTCAGCCCTGATGCATTGTCTCCCTCATGTGGGAGACCCCCACCGGGGGAAGTAAGTGGAGACAGGCACAGAGAGGCCTCACCTCGCCCAAGGCTCACCTACCTGCGTAGCATTTCTGTGCACAGGAGCGACTGGTCGCCCGGAGCCCCCTTGAAATGGCAGAAGCAGCGCCATGCTCCGTCTGGGTGGGCAGGCTTGCCTTTGAGTCCCTGTTCCGCCACGTGCTGGCTCTGAAGCCTCGGGCAGGGGGTTCGGCCTCCCTGAGCCTCAACAGCTCCCTTTGAGCAAAGGGCAGTCAGCTACGTCTCGGAGTGATTGGGGAAAGCCATCAACTGCCAAGTGGAGCGTTCTGTGCTGGACAGAGAGAAGAGAAATCAAGAAAAATAGCTCAGGGCATGAGGCATAGACGTCTCTAAGGTAGAAAGTCGTATGCAACTCCTTTCTCTGTCACATTTTACAACTCCCACACCACTTCTGTCCCTTACTGCAGTTGAGTCAAAATTTGACTCAGCAGCTGACCCCCTAGTGAGTTTTCCAAGGCTGTAAATCGCACAGGAGGAGATTACCCCTCTTTCTGCCAAGGAGCGAGCTCAGCTCATGGATTCAGACTGTCCACCTTTCAGTTGAGCTGTGACGGCCTAGTGGGTAAGGAGCTGTACTGCCAACGCAAAGGCAGGAGGTTTGAATCCACCTGCTGCCCCTCAGGGGAAAGACGGGCAGTGTCACGACCTCTGAAAACCTGCTGGAGGGTCAGCTGTGAGTTGGTTCTAACTTGACCTCAATGAGTTGAGTTTTCTTGAGTTTGATAGCAGTTCAACTGGATTCTCTCTCCCATGCCTGCCTGCAACCCTGGATAGCTTTCTCCTGTCACAGAAGCAGACACAGGCCCAGAGAGGTTAAGGGCCATGTCCAGGGTCACACAGGTGGAAGAGGCAAAGCAGACTTGAAGTCTATTCTTGTAGCTTTGGCCACCCTGCTTAGAGGCAAGGCTAAACGGGCTCAGCACTGGAGAAAGTTTAGGGAGGAGAGCTGACCTGGGCCCTAAAGAATGACAGAGCTTTAACAGTCCAGAGGTATGAAATGGAAACACCATTCTTTTCCCAAGTATTTCTATTTTAGAAGCACCCAGACCCCAGCAAGGCTGGATAGAAAGCAGTGGCTAGGAATGCAGGTTCCAAAATCCTATAGACTTGTGACAAAAGCATCCTTTCTTACTCCTCTGTGTGACTTTAGGCAAGCTGTGTAGCCCATCCGAGCCTCAGTTTCCTCATTTTTAAAACGGGAGCCAGGGAGCTCTGGTGGCCTAGTGGCAAGACGCTGCATTGCAGTCCCAGAGGTACGCAGTTCAAATCCACCAGATGCTCTACTGGAGAAGGAGGGGGCGATCTCCTCCTGTACCAGTCAGATCTGATTTGACGGTACACGTAAAAATAATACAATAAAAATGAAAAAAACCCACAACAACACAGGAGCCAGTACACGTAAAAATAATACAATAAAAATGAAAAAAAAAACCACAACAACACAGGAGCCATTGCAGCACTGTATGCAGCACTTTAGAGCAGTGGTCCCTTCCCCAGCAGGTTTAGTATTACCGGGAGCTAATTAGAAACGCAGTCTCAGGGCCCCAGCCGGCCCTCCCGCATCAGGGCTTCACACTGGCCCCACTAGACTTTAGATAAGGCTTTGTAGGGACAAGGCAGTGTCCTAGGCTCTTGAAGCTCCAGACCAGCATCCTCCCCCTGACCAGCCCCACCTCTGCCCCCACTTCTCCCAGGTGCGGTTCCCGTCGCACTTCAGCTCGGACCTGAAGGACCTGCTTCGGAACCTCCTGCAGGTAGACCTCACCAAGCGCTTTGGGAACCTCAAGAATGGAGTCAATGACATCAAGAACCACAAGTGGTTTGCCACGACTGACTGGATTGCCATCTACCAGAGGAAGGTGGGCCTGACCTTGACCCCCTGGGTGAACTGAGAGTGTCAGGAAGTCAGGGGTCAAGGGTGGGAAGAGGGGAGGCTTCAGACTCAGAGCAGGTCAGAGGAGGCAGCTTGGTGCCACCTGGGGGCGCAGGGGACATCGAGACATGGGATTCTGGGTTCACTTAGTCACTCTGTGACCTTGGGCAGTATTTATCATTGCTGAGTTGGGCTGTTAAGAGGGGTCCACACACTAATACTAAGCTATCTTAAGCAATGAGGCCGCTCACATTTATTGTTGTAATTATGATTGTGTTCACCAATGACTCCCGGGTGGTTCTCGGTCCCACTCCAGGTGGAAGCTCCCTTCATACCAAAGTTTAAAGGCCCGGGAGACACGAGTAACTTTGACGACTATGAGGAGGAAGAGATCCGGGTCTCCATCAGTGAGAAGTGTGGCAAGGAGTTTTCTGAATTTTAGGGGTCTGCCTGTGCCCCATGGGTTTTCCTTTTTTTTTTTTTTTTGGTGGGGGGTGGGGTGGGAGGGTTGAATTGAACAGCCAGAGGGCCCCAGAGTTCATTGCATCTAATTTCACCCCAACCCACCCTCCAGGGAAGGAGGAGCAAAAAGCCCAGATTTTTGGAGGGATGGAAACACCAGCTGCTCCCCCTTTACCCCTTTTGTCCTCAGCCCACTCGTTCTACCGCTTCTCCCACCCTCCTACCCAACCTCAGCCCACTTCTATTTTTAATTCGTTTACCCACCCTTGTCAGACCAGGTCTTGCTGGTGTGTCCTGGGTGAAGAGAGAGGGGCTCAGGCCTAACTCCAATCCCTCCTCCTAAACTTCAGGCCCCAAGAGTCATAAAGGGCAAAATGAGTGGAAAAGCCAACCTCTCCTCCACAGCAGTCCTGCCAAGGAGAGGGGAGATTTTAGTGACCGGTACAGTGGGCTATTTGCTAGGAATTTTAAGAAAAACCATTCAAAATATTATTTAAGTTCCATCAGTGCCTCCCTCCCACCTTCCCTCTGCCCTCATTTCCCTTTCCTGGTCCCCCTGTCCCTCAAACTCATTTTAACAAGGCTGGGAAGCAAATGTGGCTTTGTAAGGACGCAGCTGGGGATAAGACCTCTTCCTCCAAACGGCTCCTCTGCCCTGTCCCCTCCTCTGGTGTCCCCTGCCAAGTGTGGAGAGGGTCTCAGCCCCTTCAGGAAGCCTCTCTTCCTACTCCCCTACAGACCTTTATACATACACCCTGGGCTTCGGGAGCCAGACAAAGCAGCTACCCCTTCACCCTGCCAAAGAGGAGTGCCCCCCCAAAGACTGAGGGGCAACCGCAAGCCCCAGGGTCTCTCCCTCCCATCAGAAACTCCTTAATTTTATTCTTGGCTAGATTTTTAATGCCCATCTTCTCTCCGCGCAATTGAGAAGGCAAACGCTGCAAAAAAAAAAAAAAAAGGACAAGAGAGAAAGCCCCTCCCCTACTGCCCCCACTTGGCCCAGGGTTCAAGGCCAGGCTTGCTTAGGAGGGGCTGCCTGTTTTACTCGCCCTGTGGCCTCCGCCCCCGCGCCTGATCCTGGAAGTCCCTCTTCTAGTTTAGCTGTCAGCTGTCCATCACTCGTTCTCTCCCTCCCCCTCTGATTTACGCTTTTTTCCTCTCAATAAAAAAGCTCTGTGGGAATCGCTGGGGAGGTACCCCATTCACCCTCGTATCTGTCCCTCTCCTGACTTCTCCCCAACCCAGGAGGAGCTCTCAGGCCTGGAGTGGGGCCCTGGGTGGGCGCGGGGGCGATTCAACCTGTGTGCTGCGAAGGACGCGACTTCCTCTTGAACAGTGTGCTGTTGTAAACATATTTGAAACTATTACCAATAAAGTTTTGTTTAAAAAAAAAAGTGTCGCTTGTGTTCCCGACTTCAGTCACCCACCCACTCACCCCCCGGGGGGTCAAAAGGAATTTTGGACCCCAGTGGCCAAGCTGAACAGGCCTTGTAAAACGGGGTTTGGCTGGAATTATGCCACTCTCCTACCACGCTGGAGAAGGGGCGCTAAGCTGCCCTTTGACCCTGAATTCAGGCTCCCTAAATCTGCGGCGCGCCCCCTCTGCGTCCAGCCGGGCACCGACGGAGAGCTTGGGAGACGCTGAGGCTGGCGCGCCGGGAGGCCGCGCGGCGGCGGGGGCGGCCCTGGTTGGGGGAAACAGTGCGCGCCCCCTCCCGCATCTTGAACGCGGAGCGCGGGGCCGGGCGCGTCGAAAGGGTGCTGGGCTGGCTGCGGCCAGGGGGTCCCCATAGCGCTGGAAGAGCGAGGTGGACAGGGCCCGCGGACAGCGAGTTCCCGGTAAGTGCGGTCCCGAGAGCGGAGCGCGCCGGGAGGCGTGGAGAGGGGGGCTGGGCGCTGGGGACGTCTGGG